AACAGAAAATCACGATTGAGATTGCCAGCTGATTCACACATGTAGGGAAGGGAATTTGTGCGCAAACGCTCTAGCCAATTTAGCCTTTACTTTGTTAGAGTCTATTCAGATTATTGACCATGCTCCTATTAATATTAGTAGCCTTCTTTTTAGTGATTTAGCCGATATTGGTCTCCCCTGCTATGGAAGGGAGTAGTAGTATTTTTTTTCATTTTGTTTTTGCTTAGTTTTTTCTTTCCATTTTACAAAAAAAAAAAAAGATATTGTTACGTACGTAAGTGGTAAATAAGCGTTTTTGCTAAAACTAAACATAAAAATATGGATTCAGATCCTCTCTACTATAAAAATATAAGAGATCACTACTCTTAACGAAAATCATTGATTTTTTAATTGACGGTGATGGACAATTGCAATCAATCTAAAAATAACACTTATCATATCTTTATAAACTACTGTCATTCCTATTTTATACTTGATAAGTAACAATATTTAATTAATCAATTCACTATTATATTAAAAAGAAAACAGTGGTCTCTTCCATAACTTTCTAGTAGTGAAGAAGATTTGAATCCTCAAATAAATTAAAGGGAAAAATGCTTCCACCCCCTAAAAGCCAAGAAAACATGCTTCCCACCCCCAAGACTTTGTCAACGGGTGTTTTGCCCCCTAAAATAAAGATTTTATTCTCTGAGCCCCAAAACACAAAACCCAAGAGATTAAAATATGTGAAGACCATAAAACCCTTCTCTCTCTCTCTATCATGATGTACTGAGATGATAGTTAAAATGATTGATGAGAATTATTTTATTATTTTTGTTTTTTATTATTTTTATTGTTTGTATTAGGAGATTGTTAAAGTTACGGGTTAATTGTTAATATTACGAGTTAATTGTTAAGGTTACAGGTCAATTGTTAAGGTTATGGACTCTCTCTCTCTCTCTCTCTCATGATGTTCCTATGATGATATTAAAATGATTGAAGAGGATTATTATTTTATTATTTTTATTTTTTTATTATTTTTGTATTTTTAGAATATTCATTGTTAAGGATAATGATTGGTTGTAAAGGTTATGCATTGATTGTTAAGGTTACAATTTGGTTGTTAAGGTTACGGGTTTGTTGTTAAGGTTATGGGTTTGTTGTGTAGGTTACGAGTTTGTTGTTAAGGTTACAAGTTTAATTGTTAAGTGTAGGCATCGAAAATTGCCTATAGGTCTCCGTGAGCAGCTCAAAGCTAAGAGGAGATGAGGAACGTCACTATCCAAGTCACGGAATCTTGATTGACGTTGAGGAATGCTTGAAGTGAATCAACGAATTACGTGAAGTAACGAAATTTCAGAATAACGAAGACACGAACTGATCAGGAGTCCCGCGTCGCTTACAAAAGATGAAACGACACTCCTGTCCCAGCTTGATCCACAATGATCTAATCATCAGAGCTTATGAAACGACGCACTTTGAATCACTCAAATCCGAGTTCGGACGAAGAAATTACGGCAGAAACGGACAAGTACACGGAAAAGAACGTCTCAGCCTGAGTTGAGACACCCCGAGGTGTCTCGGCACAAGCGAGACACCCCAAGGTGTCTCGGCCAAGGTTGAGACACCCAAGGGTGTCTCGGCCTCGTTGAGACACCCAGGTGTGTCTCCAGGCCTAAAATTAGGCTGTTATGCTGTTTCAACCACCTGAACTCCCCCGAGCCTATAAATACAAACCTTAGGCCTTCATTTTTCTAGATCTGGAATTCTCGAGCATTGGCGAAGCCCTGCCGGATTGAAGATCAAAAGTGCATGAATTTCAGAGAGGAGGAGGAGGAGTAGAGATCTGATCGAGTTCGTCAGCATAAAGAAGAGGAGCTCGTCAGATCTGCAGTTCCCCGGGTCCGTTCCTT